GCAGCAAAGATATACAAAGCCACGAGCACTCATCTCTCCAACAATTTTGTGGAGCCCCAGCGTTGGAAAAGCGAATTGAGAAAATATAAATTTGTTTTTCGCGAGCCTGGATCTCGTTTCTTGAGCCATCTTGAACATAAAAAAGTTATTTATTCACGTTCATTACGTCGCCCAGCTACGATACATAAAAAAATACAGATCGCTGCTTGAAGATAACCACATCACTTTCATTGTTGGATAAGTGATAGTTTGTGATGATAACTGCGTTAATATGCATTTATTATTATTTTATGATAGAAAGAAAGCGACACGTTTCGACGAAAAGAAAGAAATCCACATTTCATGACCACATAATTCGCAATTTATTGTCTACATTAAAGTTTTAAATGCGTTATGAATCTGCGTAGGAATATGCTATTCCTTTATAATTTAGTTCCAGCTATAAAAATAATTCTTAAATGATTGAGAACAAACGTAGACACCGAATGAATAATAAAAATTGGTTCCAACCTAAGAAATTCATTCATGAATCCTGTTTCTCATGAGTCAAATCTGCAGCCTACTTCTACTCAGCCTGCTAGTGTCACATCTACAACATACTTCTACTCAGCCTGCTAGTGTCACATCTACAACCTACTTCTGCTCAGCCTGATACAGTCACATCTACAACCTACTTCTACTCAGCCTGCTAGTGTCACATCTACAACCTACTTTTACTCAGCCTTCTACAGTCACATCTATAACCTACTTCTACTCAGCCTGCTAGTGTCACATCTACAACCTACTTTTACTCAGCCTTCTACAGTCACATCTACAACCTACTTCTACTCAGCCTGCTAGAGTAACATCTAAAACCTACTTCTAAACGTTACATATCGCAAATACCTTAAATAGTATTTAACGTATTTATTAATATTTATTTAATGTTTAATATTTAATGACAAATAGTATTTGTCATTAAATACGTTACAATTAAATGACAAAAATAGCCCATTACATTTCGAACCTGCGGCAATCCAGCGACTAAATAACAATGTCAGCGTTTATAAATCCTGCTAATATTGACGGTAATAAAATGGACCATTGCGTACAATTAAAGGTTAAAAATCGGACTGTAGTTCTTATGTTTGGACCCTTTGATTTTTTCAAGAAATGAAGAAGCAACTCAGTGCAGTTGGTTTTGTTCGAAACCTTCTGCATGGATATCATCCCAATACTTCCACCCTAACTGGCTTCCTTTTCACTCAATAAAAAAAAGTATTTCACCGCTTGAAATTCATCGATCATTTGATGACTTCTGTACAGACCGCTGACTTTCAAGTGTTCCTCTCAAGTGTATTTGTTATAGGATGTGTTTGTTGTATCTCCAGCCCCCATATATTCATCCTCGCTGCTTGGTAAGATCTTGAGTCTTAAGCAAACATACTCACCGCTTTTATTTTATTGACTTGTACAAACACCGGGTCGTGTCTGCAGGCTTTTCAGTTTGTTTTGCCTTTTTATCGGCTACGAAAAAGAGGAATTTTTGAGAGACCGGAACAAATAACGTTGCTCCTGATTGACCTTTCGTACAGATCGTGGAGTGATCTTTCTACCGACCAAGAGGCCTAAGTCAATACTTATTATTTATTTGTAACTTCTTGGTGTGTAGCTTGATCTGGTACTGTTTAATTATCCATACATGCATTATGTATATGTATGTTATTTCGCTCAAAATATGAGCTGTTTAATTAAAAATCCTATAAGTATTTTTACTAACACCAAAAATTTCTCGAACAATAATTATTTGAACTTCATTTCAAGTACATAGCCAATAACTTAAAAAAAAAAACTTTAACCCATCCTGAAAAATTCGTTGGTTTTGAATGAGATGAAGTTACGTGTCAAAAGGAGTTCAGAAATGTTTATTCAATTCAGATAGCGTAACTACGAATTCCGAAGCGTCCTTGAAATAATGAAAACTAAATTTTAAAAATTGTTCTTAAAAACGCTCTTTTAAATGTATTTAATTTTAGTTTCAGTAAATTAACAGTAATTTGAGTGTATTTCAAAAATGTATTTATTAAAACATTAGACACTGACTGTACGAATGCAAACATAGACCAAAAGCTTGGGAATCACGAGCCATGACACTTAACGGGCGGTTAAAAGTTTCTCAAGTGGTTCCGAAAATTAAAAACGACAATAAAGTTAACGCAAGAGTTTGAAGAATTAAATTCTGTACAGCACATAGTTATTAACGTATTTCTCATTTATGGAAAAAGGCGCCATTGTGCTCGTCATGTCCGTCTGTCTGTCCGTCCGTCTGTCCGTGACTTCACGTTTTCGTCGACGAGAAAATGCGCTCTCTGTCACTCACTGCAGTGAGTACTGAGTTATATTTTTTTTGCTATGCTTTGTTTTAGCAATGCATTCAAGCTACGCATTAATTATGCTTAGGTTTTCTCCCCGTGGGAGTTACTCAATAAATCCGCGACTTGACGCCAGCGCAAGCTCTCATCGAGTCTATGCACTTTGCTGAGACTAATCTAGAGTCTGGGTTCATCTTAACAAAGAAACATGTAGTCCTCAAAAATTGGCACGTTGGCTGGATCGCCAGACATATGACGTTGTATCAACGTTGAAATAAACTTTATTTGATTGAATCATCATAAATTAAACGATGTTTCAACATTATTTGCCTGGTTAGCAAAGTTCGTACTACTCGATTGCACACTCTTCATGGAGTCAGCCGCTTTGAGTTCTGTCTCTGATTCTTGTCTGCTGTGAAGAAAGATTCGTCTTCATTTGTTCTTTTAGAGCGCACTGATTTTTATTCTTTTTACGTCGCCAGTCAAGGAAGATTTATCATTGTGTGCTCTCCCAAACTCAAGCAGAATTATCTCCTCTTGTCTTATTTAGGAAAAGATTGATGCAACGTTGTTCAGCTCTAGTCTTTCATACTTCTTCTTCTTCAAGACAGCTGTTCTCCCGAAGGAGAACAAGTCTTTTATTCTTTCCATCTTCTCCATGCCCAGCAAAGCGAGACTATATACCACACAAGACATACTAATGGTCTAAAGTTCAGCTAAGTGCTACAGGAAGCAAACTTTGTTCCAGAGATAAAGTTGCATCATGAAAAAATATCTTGATAACTTTGTGCTGCGAAGATGTGCAATTGTTTGGCCACAAGAAGTGAGACGAGGTGTTTAATAAACAAAGCTTGGCCAAATATACACAACGGCAAGAAATCTTGGCAATCTCTGTACCTAAACTAAGGTAGAAAATGCAGGTAAGTATTCCCTGAAGCCAAGTAAGAGTGAGCTTGACGAATGACTGCGAAAGTTTACCCATTACCTCTTGAAGGACAGATGTGTTATCCTTGTTAAGGTTAATTGAAATACTGTATAGTTCGAATAAGATTCTAAAAAGTTAAAAAAACTCATTGTTACCTCGAAGAACAATTGGAAACTTCAGGAAATCGAGTTCTTGTCATTAAATAATGGAAATACTACTGTACCGGAAATTTTTGCATTATTAATTCACACATGATTTTCTTTAAAAACTTCAAGGTTTGTGCTTTTCCCTAATTTTCAATTGGTTATTTAAATCGTTCTTGCCGATTATATCTCTATACAATGAAAACACAGTTTTATTAACAATAATACACATTACTTTCCCAATTTCATATCGTCTTTTGGTGCCGTGAGGGATTCATTCTAAATTTTGGTCTATGTTTAAAGCAAATACAGAACTGTAATTATAATTCTCCGCAAAATAACAGAAATTAATACAATAATTCAATGGCTTCAAACGTTCAGGATACTTCAAGGATAATTAGGTTATTCGTCATTTTCGTTATTATTTTATAAACGTAGTGTACCTTAATTTCTTTCTTCAAAACATTGTTCGAATGTTTGGTTACAAAGCAGTAAGAAATTTTTTTGTGATCTTTTGTACTTCACAACGCGATAAAAAGCATGCATATAAGGCAATAATAATTATATAGATTTGATGAAATGCGATCGAATTTGCATAAAATAATAAAATTGATAATTACAGAATATAATTATATAACACTAATCACTGTATTTAACAACATTCTGTTACGATTTTTATAGAATAAATCAGTGTACGCAATATGGAAAGTAGCCAGAATCAATGTTGAATTAGAATCCTATTTCATGTGCCATTAAATTCCTACTGCCTCGCAAACGCATATCTTAGAAGGATTCTTCAATTTATCCCATCATTAATGAATAAAAGATTTTTTACGACGGCAGCATCAAAAGATTCGGCCGCTAAGTTTCGATTTCAGATCCTGTTTGATCTGATATAAGAAATTAATACGGCGGCGCTAGGCTAGAAATCCGCCTTAGCAAGGCTCGCCGCGCCTGACTGACATTGAGGCTGGAGGGGCAGCCAAAACTACGCGTAATTGATAAGCCAAATGGAAATTGGCCACACTTTTGGCTCGACGAGTGTCTGCTGAGGTGAAAGAAATTCCGTGTTTAGAACAGATTGGTTTCTACACTGACACCGATCAACGGGAAAATTTCTTTGATGTTTTATAATGGCTATAATACATTTCAGTTTGTGGGCACTTTGTGTGAAGTTCGAAAATTAGATTGAAGCTCAAAACAGAAAATAATAACCATGTTCAAACTTTCTCAAAATTTGACATAATTTTAAAAACAGCGTTCCAGCTCTGCACCAATATTTTCCCGAACAACGTATAAGGATATGATCTTAGATATTATTACATACATCCATCCACATATAACCTAATACTCTGGAAGTAAACAAAAACCATGTGATCACTGGAAAAAATTTAATGTATCATTATATGGAATAATAGAAGTAAACGAACATATTATTGTTACCTTACCTATAACACATGAAACACGAACTCTGTGTTTTAGCTGCAGTTTCTTATTTTCACTTAAAGATCCATAAATCTAAAAATTTCGTCTACAGTTATGGAATAATATAAGTAAACGAACAAGTTAATGTTATCTTACCTTCTACTCGGGGCATTAGGACAGAGATGCTCGACAACAGCAGCAACAACTTCACGCAGCGTCTGACTTTCGTCATGAGAGGCGTGAAAATATCCGCAGATTTTCTTCGATTTTTCATTTCTTTCAAGTTCACTTCTGTACTTTTCAGACCAATGGTTTCAAAATTTACTGTCAATAGTTACTGTCAGTTACACTGTAAATGCAATTATGAATGCGCTTCATACTACACCTCATTGCTATATGATTCATGTTTTGATTCAATGCATCTCAAAGATATCAAATTGGAAAGTTAAATCTCACAACTAATTCACATTCTTTAATAAACTTTCAGAATATTTTCTGTGTGTTTCAGTGACCTTAAATTTTCTCTCTTATAACCTTTCAGCCCTTGTTATGTTGTTCACAAAAAAAGTTAATTTTCATAACAAGGTTTATCTCAGTCACATACTCGAACACTATCTTATTGAAGCGTTATATGGCACGTCTTCACCTGACAAATTCCCTTTAAAGTTCACTTTTATAATAAAGATCTGAAAATTTATAAAGCAATGAATTGCTGATGCTAAAGCTCCTATTATTTATGTCGTCGTTCGAAAGAAGCCCTCGTTTTTTCACTTAATATTAATCATCAAATAAAACTTGCATTACTGTTATTTCTGATTTCTTCTGGTAGCTGATTTTTTAATTGTTAACTCAATTTCAAATTCAATTTGATTTATTGCATTAAATTTCATATTACAAATTCTTGCACTTTCCCATCGAAAATTCCGAACTTACTCGTTCTCGTTCTATTGAAATTAGTTTGCTTCTGTTAACTCACTGGGTATCAAACCACATGTCAATAATAGAAATATACACATTAATTAATTGCGTTTAAGCTTTTATTGTTATTTATATAAGCAATATATTACTGGCCCCGAACCCCAGTATATGGTTTGTCTATCAATAGCCCTGAACTACATTTTTATTGTTGACTCTAAACCACAGTATACGGATCATATCGCTGTACCCTGAACCCCAGTATACGGTTCATGTCGCTGGCCTCTGAACCCCAGTATACGGCTCATATCTCTGGCCTCGGAACCCCAGTATACGGTTCATATTTCTGGCCTCGGAACCCCAGTATACGGCTTATATCTCTGGCCTCGGAACCCCAGTATACGGTTCATATCACTGGCCCCGGAACCCCAGTATACGGTTCATATCTCTGGCCTTGGAACCCCAGTATACGGCTCATATCTCTGGCCTCGGAACCCCAGTATTCGTTTCATATCGCTGACTCTGGAACCCCAGTATACGGTTCATATCGCTGGCCCCGGAACCCCAGTATACGGTTCATATCTCTGGCCTCGGAACCCCAGTATACGTTATCGCTGGCCAAGGAACCCCAGTATACGGTTCATATCGCTTGCCTCGGAACCCAGTATACGGTGCATATTGTTCTACCTGAACCTCGGTAAACAGTTTGAATTATTTGCTATGTAAATTAATGATGAAGAGCATTTCAACGTCTGTATAAAGTTTTGAATCTTAAAAAAAATTATTAGTGTTTCTTCCAAATTCCAAAGCCTGGTGTAGGAAATCTTGAATTACCAAGTGAAATAATGCAAATATGAAGATGTTGAGAGAATAAAATACACATACTACACATCCCAGTGCAAGCAGCCGTTACGTTGTACTGCGAACCGAAAAGGCTAGCTTCTTATTTCTACAATCACAAAACATTTATTTCCCATTCAGTAGAATTTTATTTCATTTACCTATTTTTGAATTTTAATTTATATAAATTTAAACTTTAATTTATCTGAATTTAAACTTTACTTTATGTAAATTTTATTTATTTAATTTTTAAGTTTTTCCTGCATTTTAAATCATCATTATTCGTTCGTTAGGTTCCATGAGCCTATAAATAGCCATTATTGCGTAGATAAAATCAATAAAACATTATGAAATTCGATTTTATACTATTTAAGTTATTATTCATTATTTTAATTCGATTTTAAATTATTTAAACTGAAGGAAAGTAGGTCCAGGATGTTAGTTTATTTTTTAAGCAAATAATATTTCCAGCACGTGGCCTACTTCGCGTCATAGGCTTCCGCTTATTTAAGATGCATTTTCTATTAATGATTTCTAAGCAAAATTTATATGCAAAAATCTCACTCATGAACCTTTTTATCTTCACCATCGTTTTCCTTAAGATTATTATCTCCCATCTTCTTACTAGCTCTTCTCTTCATCTCATCTAACATGTGCGTCAAAATTTGCGGCCCAACATAAACATTTGCAACCCAACATTCGCGGCCCAACATAAACATTTGCAGCCCAACATTCGCGGCCCAACATAAACATTTGCAGCCCAACATTCGCGGCCCAACATAAACATTTGCAGCCCAACATAAACATTTCCATTACTAACCACAGTCAACATCCCCTCGCCCACACCACAAGCTCTCCAACAACCCTCGGTCACTCTCAGAGAAATAAATGTTACTTTGTCCAAATAGTCATACACTGTTTTTGTCTTATGTAGGTCATCCTTACATAGTTTGGCCCGGCAAAATGGCGGATTAGTGCGATGTGAAGAAAATTCGTCAATTTTTGGACCATATAAACCATTCATTCTTCTGAGTGCAATACACGTTTTTAAACGCGAAGAGGGGCGGAAGAGCAAGAGGGGCAAGAGGGAGGCATGAGGGGTGCAGGAGGGGCAGGGAGGGGCATGAGGGGCAAAGGAGGGGCTGGGAGGGGCAGGGAAAGGCATGAGGGTAAGAGCAAGAGAGGGCAGAGGTTCCCTCGGGAGGGGATAAGTGTGAGGTATGACCAGCACCTCCTCTCATGCAAACAAATGGCATCGAGGTATGACGCAGGGCCGGTGCTTCATACCTGAACATTCTTGTCGAGTACTTCACATCAAAATGACTTTTCCGCGGTGAAATTCTGATTTTAGTTGAAATTAGTTGTTATTCAATTTTATTTTCTGTTAAGAATTACTTTAGAGAAGGTATATTTTAATGCAATATTTCGTGCAATAATAACACCCTTCATATCCTTTTTTCATTGTCTAATTAAATTTTGGATCTCTCAAGTCTATTATTTTCGTGAGCCTCACTTTGTATTTCATTTAAAAATCACAAATGAATAAATAATTTTACACGAACATTATTGTCATGACTTTACCTTCGATGGAATTTACCCAAAGTTTGCATCTGAATTTTTTATTACGGAAGTTAATTAGTCAGATAGCTCTTAGAGTAGAGGCTGCTGTGTCCATTTCAGGCGCTTAATATCAGAATTTTTGTTCACTCTACGCTTATTTTCTTACTCTCTTATACTCTTATAAGCTCACTCTTATATGTGTTCACTCTTTATCCAATTTCTACTGATATTTGCTCTCAAATTTACTTGATGTGTTCACTTGTTAAATTAATTATGATGGCAGTTTCTACGAGTTTGCCTTCATAACCATTTTCCAAAGTTATAATTTAATTATTCCACCCTTCTTCATAAACTTCTCTTAATTTATTATTTATCCACTATAATAATATATCATCTGTCATGATCCTCCCTCTAGAATAGTGTACCGCTCCCTCACAATTATAATTATTACAATATATATCATAATTCTGTTCACTGCGATAACTAACAAATGATGTACAGTATTATTTATTTGCTACGTGGAATCGTAATAAAATTAAACAGCGCAAGGAATAATTCTGCAGTAAGTTAAAATCACACCTGATTAAACATTTAATTTCATTCCCGCTACTTTTAATTACCAAACATGATTCTTTAATTACAGTATTAAAATTACATTCATTCTTACGTAGGATTTATAATAGGGGAAAAATCAAAATTTAATTATACTACTGTTGAATCACACGTATGCTAATGATACTTCAAACGACCTGTAAATTATCTCAAAATGACGAAAATTCTAACGAATTTTGAAGTGAGAGCGAAATATTATGGTAGTTTTTGCACGCATCCTGACGACATTTTGCACGACAGAAGAATATTATAGTAGCTACATATTATAATACCTACGCAGCACGATCCTGCATGGTTATTATAGCTTGTTTATATGCATTAGTACATTAGTGTTACAACAAAGTGATTTATCAAGGTAATTATAGTCATACAATGTGCAGGAGTATTTAAAATACAGTTAATATACAGAACTGGTTACGGTAATTATTGTTACACAATAAGCACAGTTCCATAACAGTATCCTACATACTAATTCATGTCTTATAACGTACTCGCGAAATAACAATACAGACAAACCTTTATTCTAGAATATTCCTTCTTATTTACAAGTCAAGATAGCAATTATCCGACGCTGTGGCAGGAGTGGCCGGTATCGGGCGAAGCGTCGATGCCGCGTCAGGTGATCGTGACAGTTGAGGGCTCGAGTGCCCTCGAACCCTCTGTAGACGAGGGCAGAGGGTTCGTCGATATTGCGGGGCGTTGGCACATGGGCGATAATCCTGCACTGTTTAATGTTTACTTAAAAAATATAACTCAGTACTCACTGCAGTGAGTGACAGAGAGCGCATTTTCTCGTCGACGAAAAGTAGAGGTCACGGACGGACGGACAGACGGACGGACAGACAGACAGACAGACAGACGGACATGGCGAGCACAATAGTGCATTTTTTCTATAAAGAGAAAATGCGCTAAAAAGGGAAATTCTAATCCATTTCATATGAGTAAGGATTGTAAGTAAACTGGAAATGTAGTAAATAAATTATTGGTACTTATTGATCCATTGTCGACCAAAATATTTCGTTTGTACTACAACTGAGATAAAATCGTCCTGCATTATTTCACAGCCCTTTGCACGCTTACAAACTATTTCCTATATCCTGAATCCCATTATTCCGATCAGTTAACTCGAATATTGTCATCTCGAACCGCGACATCTCGAACCGCGACAGCTCGAACCGAGTCATCCTGAATGCTGTTTCCAGATGCAGTTAAAATTGTGAAATTAAAATAGTATAATAGAAGAAAGTTCAGTTTTATCCCACACGCATAATGAAATTACCTTTCAACTTCTCTTTTTTGCATAACAAAACTAAATCCACAAAAGTTAGCAATCGCATTTAAATTCTTTAAACCTAATCTCCTGCCACAATTTTTCAATTTTTCGTGATAATTAGAAAAATACAAATTTTCCCAGAAAATATACCGACACGATAGGTATCGTGATGCGCGCCAATACAGACCCCAATAAACATATGTTAACAGACTTCAAGCAAACAAATTTCTATAAAAAAGAATAGATTATCGTTTTCCAACAACGAAATGATTCTTGGTTCTAATCACTGTTTAATATTAAACTCAATTATAACTGCATACACAGAAGTGCTCAAAGCTTACAGTTTTCGATGACACGACACTTTCAAGTAGCGAAGCTGAAGCATTTTTAACCCCCATTATTGGCTTTAAATTAGTCGTTCATCTCAAAAGAATTGAATTTCGCGCGAAAGATTCATATACATTTGTAGGGGTGATTGTACCCGAAT